GCTTGATATGTGCCCAGACACCTCCTAGGGACAAGTGACCGTGGAACAGTGGGGAGACACTGGGCCAGGACTCCCATTTGCAGATCATCAGCATAAAAATGATACCACCACCCCTACTCGCAGCCCTGCCAGTAAGAACCCTGGCCCCCCGTCCAGGGTGTGAGCACAGGAGGTGCTGGTGGGACCTGGCCCGGCCCCGTCGGAACCCTGCTCTCTCCAGCCTCCTGCCTGTGGCCTCGGGGTCATGAACTGGCTGCCGCACCACAGACAGCACACTCAAATTGGGGTCAGCAGCAAGAGGCAGGGATGAGGCCAGCCACTGCACGGAGTCTGTCTTTCCATGTCCACCTGGCTGCCTGCCCAGCGGCACAGGGTGAGGACGAGCAATTCTGTGCCCACAGTCTCTGTGGGGCAAGGCCGAAAGTCTGCTGGCCTCTGTTGTGTTCAAGTGGACCCACAGGGACAGGCCTGCGCCTTGGGGGCAGACGTGTCTCTGCAGGGCATGCCAGGGTGTCCCTCACGTGTGATGGCCCAGGATCTGGCACTGCAGCCCAAACTGACCAGCCATTGACTCACGAGCAGTGGGTTCCCATCCTCAGGAGGGCTGTGTGCCCATGTTTTGCCCAGATGCAGTCCCAACAGCCAGTACATATTAAGCTCTTCTCCTCCTCTACCCCCACCCTGTGCCTGTCCCACCACCCGTTGTAGCTCACCAACCACCTCAGACCGAACTCCACAGCAGTCACCTTCCCCGCCCAACCCTAACCCTAGTTCTAACCCCTAACCCCTAACCCTAACCAGAGCCCAAGCTGAGTGGTGATAGTGACCCCTGCACAGCCTGGGGCTGAGAACACAGGGGCTCCGGGGTATAGAGTGTCCCCAAGGCTGGGGATACACAGGGAAGCCAGGTCAACACTGTCCCCAGGGCTGCAGGCTATAGGGTACATGACACAAAGTCATTTTTCTCGCCTCTAAGATAAGCTCCAACGTCTTGCAAATCATTACAGAACACACACATACACACACACATTCGCACATCGGGGGTTTAGCCACAGTTTCCATTAAGAAACCACTCGCCCCAATCCCAACTATGTGGACACCCCTTCCTTCCAGAAGAATGCCCTACAGAGGCCAGCACTGAAGCCACAGCTCAGGGAGAGGGGCACTTCTGATCCGATCGCACAGAAGCAAACAAAGAGGGAAGGAGAGAGCGTGGAACACATCCTGACCCACCAAGCCCCGAGGATGATATTCCTGCTCAGATGAGCCAGTGCACAGAGAGGACCATAGGGCCGG